TGCTCAAGGTATTTTGTTGACTTTCTAAAAGGCGAAAGAATGGTAACATCTACTTATGATGCGAGTGTTTTGACAAAGTCAGCCAAAACTTTAACAGGAAAAGCACCTGGGAAAACCTTACTAGAGAGCTCTTCTCCACCATGGCAATGGTCTTGATCCTTCCTCTTATCAAACAAGGGCAAATTTGCAGGTGTTTTGATTGGAAATCGTTAGTCCTTCTTACGGTCCTGATTTGGCTTCTTTGGATGACTTTGTTTCTTGATCTTCATTAAAAAAAATCTTTAGGGACCAGCAGTTAGCGTAATGGCTATGTCGCTGGACTCTCATGTAGTCGACCGTGATTTGCATCCCAGACCCAGTGTCTTGAAGCTCACGCCGGGCACGTGTGCATGTGTGCCCAAGATCCCAAGAGGAGAATGGAGGAGAAGGGATTGCGGCGTGGCCATCCTCCCTGGGGGGTGATTTCTCGCTTTCTGTCTCTATGTCTCTGTCTGGTGAGCGCACGCACCCTATAGCAAAAACCTCTCCCCCCCAAAAAAAATCTTTAAAGGGTACCACGTTGACATGGTTAACCCAAGACCCTCAGTTCTTTAGGGACAGACTGTTGGGTTGGAAAAGTCATGATGTATTTTTGCATAGAAAAACAGAAAAGTAAATCATGACTTTCCAACGACATAATAGATGGCTGGTATCATTGGTTACAAAAGTGCCTTAAATTCGATGCGGCTTAGGGACCTGCAGGTGATGTAGTAGCTAAGGTGCCAAACTCCCACATGGTTTACCACAGTTTGAGTCCTGGACTCGATGGCTTGGTTTCTCACTTTTGCTCTTTCTCTGTGTCTTTCTGGTCAAATTACAAAATAATAATAATAAAAAAATTGTTTAGAAAAAATTTAAAAACCTGATGTAGCTTATGTTGAGAAATAAAGTTTATATGTTTTTTCTTTTAATTCCACTTCTCTGCAAAGTTTTTGAAGTCTCCTCTTATGATTCTTATTATAGGAGGTACCCATAGGTACAGACATAAAGTAGGATAGAGGTTATCATACGTGTGGGGAGAGAGATGGGGAGTTACTGTTGAATGGGTCCAGTGTTTCTGTTTGGTATGACTAAATGGAAATGGATGTGGTGATGGTTGTACAACATTGTAAATGTACTTAATAGCACTTAATTTTATACATAAAAATGGTTATAATGAGTATACCTCATAATACTTGAAAAAAGACCTAAAGTATTTAATTTTATGTTATGTGTACTTTACCACACTATTTTAAATAAATATTTAATTTTATTTATTATTATTATTTTTCATTTGACCAGAGAGAGACAGAGAGAGAGAGGAAGAGTGAGAAAGTAAGCTGCCAGGTCCAGGACTTGAACCTCAGTCAGCCATGTGCGAGTCCAGTTTGTATTAACCACCACGCCACCTGCTGGCCCACCACACTATTTTTTAAAGTGAGGTAGTACTGTATTGAATTGACTTGGAAATATGCCAAAAGTACTTAAAAGTGTATAAATAGAGTTGGGAGGATGGAGGTTGAGTGAATTCCTTTTTTCCCCTTAATTCCAGAGGATGCATGCACATGCTAGAGAGAGTAATTGAGAGAGAGCAAGAGAAAGTGCCCCTTAATGGGGTGTCATCATACCACAGTCATTTGCCTCCTTTTCTCAGTCTTGTCAAGATTTTGTGCATGCACACATACAGCCGTGGCATGTTTTTTTCATATCTCTCAGCCAGGATTCAAAGCACAGTCAAATATAGGATTTCCTGCTCTCTGAGTATCACATTTAACCACTGTGCTATGACTCTGCCCCATGAATTACCTTTTTAAAATTAAAAAAAAAAATTGCTAGAGTATATATGCACTCACTGGAGAGAGAGATAGAAGGAAAGTGAGAAAGCATCCCCCCAAAGAGGATGGTCATGCTGCAATCTTCTCCTTTATCTCTCCTTTCAGGATTTTGGGCGCTCATGTACATGTACCTGGCATTTTTTCCAAACTGCCAGGTCTGGGCTTAAACTGTGGGCATGTAGCATCCAGCCACTTTAACCACCATGCCACCAGCTAACCTGGGACTTCATATACTTTCACATTGTGTTTGAAGTTTATGTAGTAAACATTTTAACTGCATTGTTGAGATAAAATTCACGTATCATGCAGTTCATCCATTTAGAGTGAACAGTTCAGTAGCTTTTAGCATATTCAGAAAATTGTGCATCCATCATCACAATCAATTTTATATTTTCATTACCTAATCTCAAATAAAAACGCTATACTCCGTACCCATAACCACCAATCTTCAGTCCTCCACTTCAACCCTAAGCAACCATTAATTTTTTTTATGTCTTTATGGATTTGCCTAATGTTGATATTTCATATATATGGGATAATCTAACATACAATTTTTTGTATCTGGCTTCTTAGCATTATTTTCTCAGTTATTTATTTTGAAACATGTATTACTACTTCATTCATTTTCATGGCACAATAACATTCTACTTTATGGATAACCATGTTTTATGGAGCTGTTCAGTTAGTGGACATTTGTGTGTTGTTTCTACTTTTTTTTTTCTAAATAATTATTTTATTATTATTGTTTTTTAATTTGACCAGAAAGACACAGAGACAGAGAAAGAGCAAAAGTGAGAAAGCAAACTGCCAAGTCCAGGACTCAAACCATGGTAAACCATGTGGGAGTTTAGCACCTTAACCACTACGTCACCTGCAGGTCCCTAAGCTACATCGAATGTAAGACACTTTTGTAAGCAATGATACCAGCCATTTATTAGTCTTTGGGAAAGTCCCAATTTACTTTTCTATGTTTTATTTCTGTCTGAAATGGATATGAGAAATAAAACTTTTACTACAGTATTATTTATCCTGGTTTAATGGCATGTCAGTTTCACATTGTGCTTAGTAAAAACTTGACCTTTACTTCTTCCTCCTTAAAAAAACAAAGACACATAAGAAGGATCTTTAGAATGTTTATGGAACATTCATATTATGAAAAAGCCGTGTAAGAATTTTAAACATTTTTGTACCAAAATAAACCCATACTTTAATTCCATTTTCCATGAACTTTTTGAAGCTCATGTGTGTGTAGTTTTGTTTTTAGTTTAGTTTTTTTTTTTTTTTTTTTTTGCCATCGGGTACTTGCACTCACCCAAGAGAAACAGAGAGAGAAGGAAAATGAGAAATCACCTCCTTGAGGGAAAGTGAGAAATCATCCCCAGTGGGGATGGCCATATTGCAATCCTTTCCCCTCCATTCTTCTCTTGGGATTTTGGGCATGCATGCACATGTGCCCAGCATGATTCTTCAAGGTGCCAGGTCTGGGACTTGGACTGTGGTTGGCCATGTGGAATCCAGTGCCTTAATATCCACGCCGACTGCAATCTCCATGTATTAGGTCGTTGAGAAAAATCATGACGCATTTTTGCATAAAAAAGTGTCATGACTTTCCCAGTGACCTAATTTTTTTTTTAAAGAATCGTTCATTTAATTCCATTTGTTGTTATTGTTGTTGTTATTTTTTAACTTGACCAATCAGAGATGGAGAAAGGGAAAGCGAGATAGCAAGCTGCCAGGTCCGGGACTCAAACACCAGTTGGCCATGTGGGAATCCAATGCCTTTATTCACCATGCTACCTGCCAGCCTCCTAATATATTGTTTTTAAAATGTCATTTATGTTCTTGCATGTATCAGTACTTCATTCTTTTTTGTGGCACAATAATATTTCACTTTATGGATATATCATATTTTGTATGTCTTCACCAGGTGATAGAAATTTGTGCTATTTCCATTTTGGGCTGTTGTTAATAATGCTGCTGTGAACATTTCTGTATAAGTTTTTGTGTGAACATGTTTTCATTTCTTCTGGATATATACCTAAAAATGGAATTGCTGAGTCATAGAGTAACTTTCACATTTTGAGGAACTGCTGAGCTGTGGCTCTACCATTTTGCTTTTCCACGAGCAATGTATGAGGGCTTCAGTTCTTTCAATTCCTATCCTCATTGATACTTGTTATTGCCCATCTATTTATTGTTATTAATGATAGAGCACACATACAAGAGAGACAGAGAAAGAGAGAAAGAAGAGAAATATCCTTCACAGGGCTTGATCAGACAGTAATCTTCCTCCATTCCTCCAGCCTGCCAAGATTCCAGGTATCCAAGCATGCTTCAGGCATGTTTTCAGGCTGAATGGGAAAAGGACGCAAACTATGCTCAGCATATGGCTTCTAACTGCAGTCTGATACTGCATCAGAAGCTGGATTGTATTTCTTTAAAAAATTTTTCTATGTTTGTGTTATGGTTTTAGTTAGGGTCTTGCTCTGTCATTATCCTACTGCTTCAGCATCCCACGTAGTGGGCATTACAGGTATGTACCACCATGCCTGGCTTTTTAGGGTAGGCTGGAAATGAAACCCAGACCTTCCATGTGGCCTCAGCCTATCGAGCAGCAGCATCCACCATGCACTGCTATAGATAGGCTCCATCTTTTTTATTATAGTCATCTTAGTGGGTATGTTTAGATACCTTTTAAAACTTATTTTCATTTAGCAAGTAATAAATGATTTTTTTCTTATAAAGTATGAGTATTATATAGATCAAGCTTAAGACCTTGTGATTTCCATCCCACTTAGTTCCTATACTATACCTGGAAGGAACAATTGTTTTCAATTTGGTATGTCTTTTTCTAGAATTTTTAGAAATTCTCAATATGTAAATAGCCTTGAATAGCATCTTTACATTAATCCTACTGTTTTCATAGAAACTGTGAGATTAGTTTTATTTTTTTTCTTTCCAGCCTCTAACTTTAGAATATGACATCTTTTCAGCATTATACTATTCATTAGTAAAAGCCAAACAAGCAAATCAGCTAATGTATTTAGATAAATTTATTGTACACATTGTAGCTTTTAAAATTTTAGCTTTTTGTCTTCATGTAAAGAAATATTATCAGCAAAACTAATATTTTCTTCTTATTTTTAGTGCCTGGCTCTCTGGCTATGAAAATCCTGTGGTGTCTCGAATAAATATGAGAATACAAGATCTAACAGGATTAGATGTTTCCACAGCAGAGGAATTGCAGGTAGGCAATCACATTATCTGTAAGGATTTTTAAAAATATTTTTTCAAGAAATACTTCAGGGACCAGCAGTTAGCATAATGGCTATGTCACTGGACTCCCATATAGACGACCGCAGTTAGAGTCCCAGACCCAGTGGCTTAAACTCATGCCAGGCGCATGTGTGTGCGTGCCCAAGATCCTGAGAGAAGAATGGAGGAGAAGAGATTGTGGTGTGGCCATCCCCCCGGGTGGTGATTTCTCGCTTTCTGTCTCTCTCTTGTCTTTTTGGCTAGCGCAGGCTCCCTATAGCAAAAAAAAAAACCTCTCAAAAAAAAAAAAACAAAAAAAACTTCAGATGAGATTTCTGACTTTGAACAATCAGTCCTCAAAAATTTGTACAATAGCTTGTAACTGTAAAAAGTGACCATATGAGGCCAGCAGGTGGTGTAATGTTTGAGGCCTTGGATTCCCACGTGGCCAACCATGGTTGGGGTCCTGGACCTTGAGGTTTGAAACTCAAGCCAAGCGTCTGTGCATGCATGCCCGGAGTCCAAAGAGGAGAATGGAGAAGGGATTGTGGCATGACCATCCCCAGGGGTAGAGGGGTGGTGGTGGTTATTTCTCACTTTCTTGCTCTTTGTCTCTCTGGCAAGCACATGTGCCCTATAGCAAAAATCTCTATAATAACAATCCTATAAGATGAAACCATTCAATCAATAGGGAAAGTTAGGATTGTCCTGTGACCCTTAGAATTATTTTTTGGTCAAAACATGGAAAAAACTATCAAGTATAAACATATAGAAAAATGAAAAATGAGTAACACAAATATTAAGTACAGTGTTATTTATTTATTTTTATTCTGCAGGCTTCAGTCTACCTATCAAGTGGCCAGGGAAGCCTTTTTTTCAAAGGGTGCACGTCCTCACTGGAGAGAGACAGATACAGGCAGGGAAAGGGAAAGTCAGAAATCACCATTACCACCACACCACCACCCCATTCCCCCCCGGGAATGGCCACAGCACAGTCCCTCTTCCTACATTCTTCTCTTGGGATTTTGGGCACGCGTGTACACACATCTTGTGTGATTTTCAAGCCACCAGTTCTGGGACTCAGACTTCAGTTAGCATACAAGAGTCCTGCTCTTAACTACCTACCACACCACCTGCTGGCCTGAATTTTTTTTTTTAAGAATTATTTTATTTAACTTTATTTATTTACTTATTTTAATTTGTCTAGAGAGGGACAGAGGTGAGAAAGCAAGATGCCAAGTCTGAGACTCGAACCGTAGTTGGCCATGTGGGAGTCCAGCACACTTAATCACCATGCCACCTGCCGGCCTCCTGAAATTTTTTTAAATAATTTTTTCTTCTTTACAATTAAGATATGATATTCACATACTATAAAATTTATGCTGGTTTTATAGTATACTTACAGTATACAGGATTGTGAAACCATCACCATGATCTAATTTTGGACATTTTCATCATCCTGGAAAGAAACTATTCATACCTTTTAAACAGTAACTTCCTGTTTCCTTACCCTGAGACCCTGGCAGACCACTAGTCTTTTTTGCCTATGAATTTGCTTATTTTGGATTTTTTTTTAATAATTACTTTTAATTTAATTTAATTTATTTATTAATTTATTTTCATTTGACCAGACACACACACACACACACACACACACACACACACACACACAGCGGGAAAGTGAGAGAGCAAGCCACCAGGTGTGGGACTCACACCATGGTCACTCATGTGGGAGCGTCCAGTGCCCCAGCCACCATGCCACCTGCTGGTCCCCTGGGTATCTTATTTAAGTAAAACATTATGTGACATTCCGTATCTAGCTTTTTTCACTTAACATGTAATCTGTATTAGAGCATATATCATTACTTTTTTTTTTTGGAGAGATTTTCACTATAGGGCACGTGCGCTCGCCACACAGACAGAGAGAGACATTAGAGACAGAAAGCGAGAAATCATCCCCCAGGGGGGATGGTCACGCCTCAATCCCTTCTCCTCCATTCTCCTCTCGGGATCTTGGGCATGCATGCACACACGCCCAGCGTGAGTTTTAAGCCACCAGGTCCGGGACACAAACCGCGGTTGACTATGTGGGAGTCCAGCGACATAGCCATTACGCTAACTGCAGGTTCTTTTCATCACACAATTATATTCCATTTTATGAATGTATTACATTTTATGTACCTATTCATCAGTTGGTAGACATTTAGGTTTGTTTTTTTGTTTTGTTTTGTTTTTTTTACTTTTTTGGCTATTATGAGCAATGCTGCTGTGAATATTCATATGCAGGTTTTTGTGGGAACAACATTTAAACTTCTCTTTTGTATCCACCCTGGAGTAGAATTGCTAGATCATATGGTCACTCATGTTTAACATTTGTGGAACAACCAAACTGTTTTCCAAAGTGACTACATCATTTTATCATATCACCAGCAATGTGTGAGGATTCCAGTTTCTTCACGTCCTTGTCAACATTACTATTGCTCATTTTTAAAAATGAAAGCTATCCTAGTGTGTTTGAAGTACTATTTTATTGTGGTTTTCCTTTACATATCCTCGATGGCTACTAATGTTGAACATTTTTTCACATGCTTACTGTCATTTCTGTATCTTCTTTGAAAAATGTCTATTTAAATCCTTTGCCTGTTTTTTATTGTTGAGTTTTAAGTGTTCTTTATGTATTCTGGATACTAGACCCTTATCAGATGCATGATTTACAAATATTTCTTTCATTCTAGAGTCTTTTCAAGCTTGCATTTTCTCTAATTTTTAAGGTTTTTAGCCATAGAGTGTGTGTGCTTGTCAGAGAGAGAGACACACACACAGACAAACAGTGAAAGGGAAAGAAAGAAATCACCCCCCAGGGGGGATAGCCATGTCACAATCTCCTCTCTTTTATTTTCTTCCTGGGATTTTGGGCATGCATGCACACATGCCCGGCCTGATTTTCAGGTCTCCAGGTCTGGGACGCAGATCGTGGTTGGCTATGTGTGAGAGTCCAGTGCCTTAAACACCACATCACCTGTTGACCCCTTCATGCTTCCTTTTTTTTTTTTTTTTTGGAGAGGTTTTTCGCTATAGGGCGCGTGCACTTGCCAGACAGACAGAGAGAGACATAGAGACAGAAAGCGAGAAATCACCCCCCAGGGGGGATGGTCACGCTGCAATCCCTTCTCCTCCATTCTTCTCTCGGGATCTTGGGCACACACGCACACGTGCCCGGTGTGAGTTTTAAGCCACTGGGTCTGGGACGCAAACCGCGGTCGACTACGTGGGAGTCCAGCGACATAGCCATTACGCTAACTGCTGGTTCCCTCCTTCAAGCTTTCTTGATGGTGTTCTTTGGCATAAAAGACTACCTTTGATGAGATCTGATTTGTCTATTTCTTTGGTTGCTTGTGCTTTAGGTATCTAAAAAGCCATATCCTAATTAAAAATCACAAAGATTTGTGCCTGTATTTTCTTGTGAGCATTAAAAGATTCAGGTCTTTGATCTATTTTTGGTTAATTTTTGCATATAATATTATGAAGTAAAGGTCCAGCTCCATTAATGTGATGTGGATATCTATCATTCCAGCACCATTTGTTGAAAAGACTACTCTTT